AACATACAGTATTTGCAGGTGGCACAGAAAGAAAGACAGAAGCTCAATGTAGGCGCAAACATCACATCATCACCACAAGAATGAGCACCACAGGAAGCAACACTGTCTCAGTTAGACAAAAGCACACACACATGCACGGGTACACAAAAAACTTTTCGGTCCATGCTGTCAGAATGATGATATCCATTAATCATAATTGAACAGCTGAGTCCCTGCGCATGCATAAAACATGAAGCCAATTGTAACCAATAAATCCCCCACATATAGTAATTATTACACACAACTGTGTTACCGGCTATCCATTCCACGTGCTCGTCTCATCGAGGGTCACGGGGTTACTGAAGCCTAGCTCCACTGACAGTGTGCAAGAGGTAGGGTACATACTGGACGGGTCAATGTGCTCACCAACCATCACAAACTAACAGACGCACACACGCAACCACTCACACCTGCAGCCAATTTATAATCACCAATTAACCCAACATGGACTGTGGGAGAAAGCTGCAGCATCCTGAGAAAACCCACGCAGGCACAGGAAGAAGACGCTAACCAATGCATCTCTATTAAAGCACCCACCTACATACTGTACAGTAACCACTGGTGTTCATAGAAGCATTAGTGTTTCAGTATTTTTCTTTTTCCCTTGAGTAGAAATCATTGTAATTAACAGAAGAAAAGATATTTCTTTTTTATACTAGCCCACGTTTCCATTTCTAAAAAAATCTACCCAATAGCTAGTGTTTTAATAGCGTTTAATAGTGTTTTAAATCTTTATAACTTTAACAAATAGAAAATTTGGAAGAAAAGCATCTGGACTTCTTTAAGTTGCTTGAAGACGTTTCACCTCTCATCCGAGAAGCTTCTTCAGTTCTAGGGTCAAAAGGTGGAGAGTCCCAGATTTAAGCCCTATGGGAGTGTTTCCCCAAGAGGGATATGGACCCCCTATTGATCCACTACCTAATCACATGAGCCAAGGTGTGAAAACAGGTGTAGGTCACAATCAGCCAGGGTTTCGGGTGAACCCGCTGTGAAACCTAGCCCCACCCTATAATGTGATTTCCTGAGGTCAAAAGGCCCAGGATGTGAGTGGGCATTAAGGTGTCTGGGAAGGATCTCAAAACTGGATTATAGATGGCAGACAGTTGGTGTCGTAAACCACCGCCTCTGTTCAAAGATGGTCGATCACAGTGGACATAGATGGCTTCTTTCACTCATCTTTCAAACCATCTTTTCTCTTTGTCCAAAATTATGTTCCCCTTGGGGAACACTCCCACAGTGCTAAAATCTGGGACTCTGCACCATTTGACCTTAGAACTGAAGAAGTTTCTCGGATGAGAGGTGAAACGTCTTCAGGCAACTTAAAGAAGTTCAGATGCTTTTCTTTCTAAGCTCCTTAGACTACAATGACCTGGATGACTGAGAACCTTCAGAGAGATTGCGTGAAAGTCACTTTTTTGCCCATGTTTATTTACTCTCTTCTTTTTTCTTTTTTTTTTTTAAAAAAAAAGTGGAGTCAGAAGCATTCACATTTGGATGAAACTGTAGAGCACAATGGTTATCAGGTAAAACTAGCAAGCTAGCAAGCTGCATCTACAATCTGCATGAGCCCGTCACATGGACACCCATGCTTACTAATTAGCACAAAATAATATAAAAGTAGTAGTAGTAAAAAGTAACTAAAATGAATTACTAGAATTTCACAAACATGACGTAAGACACGCTCTTAGTACAGCTAAGTATGGTTTAGCTTTCCCATTCCATGACTTGAATTAGCAAAGATAAAGCTTAGCTGACTAGGTTACAAACTGCCAGGTGCACTCACTTGTATTGTATACACCTGCCAGTCAGTGTGACGGTCCTATAACTCCAGTGTTATAAGTCTAGTGTTTAGTAACACTTAAACCTGTGAGTTAAAAGCCTCTTCACCCGAATGGGGAAGTTAGCAATACTAACCATGGTGTTCATGGCGTACTTTGATGTATAAAGCCTCGTCAATCACAAGTCGCTAACCAATGAGTGTTTGGTAGTGATGTACCAATATCATTCTTTAAGCGATAAAATTACCCCCAGCAACTTAAAGGTATTTTTTATACACATTCTCGAGTTTTCTTTTACTTTCCCCACATTTTGTCACCTAATTAGTGTCATGCTAGCATGTGCTGTCCCCAGTTTCACTGTGAGATCAAACCCTCACTCGTCAACCTCGTCTGTCACCTGCAATTTTTGACATAATGTATGTTAGCTTCAGTGATGACCCCTTAGCAACTTAGCTCTCAAGTATTAGAGTACGTTTTACAGTAAATAGGAGATAATGCTCATCTATGTTTCTCTTTCAGCTCAGGAATGTTGCCCCTGTGAAACATCCTATGTGGTTATGATGTGCTAATTGACTCTTCGCTGTACAGGGTTCGACTGGAGAATTCTCTGGGTTTAATAGTCACTGACATTTACATAATTCATAGTGATCTGCACTCATACAAAGAGATCTACAGTAGATGATTCAATTCAGAGTCCAAGTCCATTCTGTCAACAAGCACTTTACATTCTCAATTCTCACTGTTGCCCTCTTTTTATTCACGATCACTCGCCTAGTTTCCAACCTCTCCATTCTCCAAGTGGCTCACGGTGTCAAAGCTTTTAAGCCACCGCTCTCTAATTTCATGCTAAAACACTTTATAGACGTATTAAAAATTTTGTTCTTTCCGGTCTATTTTGCATCATAACTGAGATCCACTGAGATAGGGTGATTTCTGTGCTCGCATTAGTAGAGGAGGCAGCAGTGGCTCATCAGTTCTGGTCATAAAACAGGGGCGCCAGTGGAGGATTCACTCTGTGGAAAATGGAACTGATGGTGGTTATTGACCGTGTCCTCCAGATCCTCATTGCTGCTGAGAAAAACGTCTTTAACTACCAAGTGGTGGGTTTCCTCGCCCCTCATCTTGTCCTGCTGATTCAGTCTTTAGATTTGTTTTCATATGGCTTTAAAAGAAATGAAAAGCACATTAGGTGCTTTAGGTGTTCGTTTTTTTTTCCACGCCGCATACTAATCTACATTCTTTTTACCAATCACGCCCACGTTTATTTCAGGAAATCATCCAAAGATAAAAACAGAGAACTGCCTCTGGTCTCCCTCTTGTATTCCACTGCTTGTTTTAATTAAATTTTTTGACCAGTGTTGAAGAGGGCAAGCCACGAAGAGAAAAAGCGAGATCTCCCCCCTCGCCCAGGACCATTTCACAGACAAAAATGAACCGGTATTGATTGTAATCCCTGGATAAATACAGAGCACATGCAGCTGCAGAAATCCCATTATTCAGACAGAATTAACTGTGAAACAAGAGCACCTGCTTAAGGTCCACACATCACCAATCAGTGCGTTCACTGAGCAGATTAGAGGAGGATATGTTATCTGAACTCATCATACATTACGTCGCAATTAAACTGAAAGTGGAATTCCCAGTCCACACCTTCAGCCCGACAGATTGTAATTGATTTCTGGTGAAACCTGATCATCAGGGTTGTACTTTATGCGACAGTAACTCGGCTCTTATTAAATTCCGTAAATTCCAGAGGAGCTGGTAGGACAGAGAGCCGGTGTCAGGTATAAAAACTGTCATGTTGTTTTTCAAAAACTAGTCTTTTGAAACAGCAGCAGTAATACTGTCTTGTCTGTGGTAGCTGACACACACGTTATCATTCTAGGACGTTGCAGTCTGGTTATGTTTTACTTCCTTTAAAGTGTGATATTTTTCTACAAACAAACACTCAGTCATAAAGCGCCGCGTGATGCGTGAATCCTTTCCGTGTGAATTCCCCATTAAAAGCGCTGACCTGTTTTCCATGCCACCTCAACCCCAAATGTGCTGGAGCATGTGTCATACCCGACATTACAGTATCTGTCAGAATATTATGTAGCTGCACGCATGCTTCTGCTGCATGCAGTGGCTTGTCACAAATTCATAACTTACGGACATACAAGTTAAATTAATTACGAGTTGCAAATGTTATGTAGTTAAGTGAGATCAATCATCCACTAATCAGTTTGTGAAGTGCGATTTTATAGGAGAATCTCAAATGAAACATAATCAATTCCCTGTCAAAATAAAAGCAGAGAAAGGAAATAAGTTATGCTGAGTTAATGAGGTTGAAAGTGGCATTGTGTGGGTGTTATGTCATTTGATTGCACTTATGAGGCGTATTAGTATAAAGTGGAACAGAATTAAAGTTCAACACAGTACATATAAGAAAGTGTCAGACACTGTTCCTCTGCCATGAGGCCAGTTAACACTGCTGCTCTCACTACCTCTGAACATTGAATATCGATCCTTCTTCTGTTTATAAGATTGGGGAAACCTGCAGTCAGCTGAGACTGAAGAAATCACTTGGATGAGTGACGAAACGTTTCTCCCACAAAAACGCTACGTCCAGATGAACAGAATCAACTTTTGGAGATCGATCCTTCTATCACTCTTTACATTATTATTTTTTAATCTTTTTTGCCTCCCGCTTTGTCTTTAGCAGTACACTTCAGGCAGTGCTGCTGCCTGGAGTTATAATTAAAAGGCAATTGAAATAAGCTGGCAGACAAATAATGACTCAATGGGTACAGAGAGGAAGATACTGCACAACGTATATATCGCATGTTGAGGACACACAGTGTTTAAGATTCTACACATATTTAAAGCCATAATTATTCATAGAGCCATAGGCCAAATTATTCCATCATCCAATGGTGCATTTATTTATTTGCGGTTTTCTTTTTGGGGAGTTTGGATGTGGGTATTGCCTGAAATTGTAATTAGTCATGACAGAAATGATTAAAATAATACAGAAAGAAAGCCTCATTTGTATGCACATCAAATGAAGCACAGTCTCTGTGTTTACCTACTCAATCACTCAGGTGTCATTATACAGTACTACCACCATGTGGTCACAACATATTAATACATGAGTTAAAGAAAAAAAACAAGACAGACATGAAGCTTAAAAAAAAAAAAACCAAACAAAAATTTTTTAAATATTAAAATTTATTTCCACGCTGCAACCGATCTTAATCACTTAAAAATTGTTCACAAGAGAATCAGCAGGAATGAAACGGCGTATTTACACAAGAAGAAATTTACAGTCACATTTCAAAATATAATATTACAATTAGAGGGATAACACTTACAGCTCATCTGGTTTCTAGAGGATTATTTAGTCAATGGGACTGAAAACCGATTTCTGTACTCGATTTAAGCTCTTTCTTGTGAGACAGAAGGAAAGTCAATTCAACTCACAAAATAAAAAGATTTTTCAGTGCAATTACCTGAGTCCCACTGACTTTACCTTTGCTAACAACTTCTACCTCATATATCCCAGTAAGAGCAGCAAATTTATTTAACAGATACTTGTGATAGAGTAGTTCAGGAGCAAATGTTTACCTAACCTTTTTAATGAGGGATAGCCAACATTTATCAGGTAGTGATTTCTCAGTCACTGCATACAGTTCAGGATTAATTACAGGCACTGATAATACCTCTGTATATGGAGTCAGTCGTCTACAACAGCAAGATAACAGAGGTATCAGATGGAAAGAGTTCAAAAACTTTCAGTGGACACAACAGAAAAATCAGAGAAAAAAAACAAATAAATAGTCGTAGCATTTTTACACATTTAACAGACTGAATGTTCTTTTCAAATGCTTAACTGCAGCACATGTGCAGTTTACAAGTACTAAAACAGCAGAGATAAACAGTAATATACAAGAAACTGCCACACAATTTGGTTGGAAAAACATGCACATATACACACTTGAAAAAGAAATGCTTTCACAAGACTGTAACTCATACCGTATTACATGACTTGGGAATTACAAGGTGCTTGAGTCTATCAAGATGAATGGTTTACAATCACTGACTGTAAATCAGAATGTTTCATAAAAGCACTTGCTGCCAGAGCAGTGCTTCAGCTGTGCAAGTGTCGTACAACTATCGAAGACGGGGAGAGAATTACGCTCAGTGGATTACCATAACATGTAAAAATAACGGGAAGTACAAAGTAAAAGACCAAGAGATGCTTTATAAAAAAGCATCAACCAGAGGATTGAGAAACCGAGCTGATGGCCGACTATAATCAGAAAAAGCTGTTGAGTTGGAAATGTGAACAAATCTTCATTATTACCTGTTCTTAAATGGTTATCCTGCTCAGAGGAGTTCTTTCTTAAAAACCTGTTGCAATGTGCTACCATGCACATTCAAAAATGATCACAATCTAACATTTAATTAAGTGTTTTGCCACACGCAGAATCAATGTGCGGGCAAATGCGATAAATAATAGATTTGCTGCTAGCTAGCTAGCATATTTTTCCGTCTGTTTTTTAAATTTCAAATATAATTTAATGTTCAAGTAGTTTCATAATTCAGCTGTCTTACAGAAAGACAGGGCAGGATATGTTTTCTGGTCACCGTGAAAAGTATCAGCTAAACTAGCTAAAAGCTAACTAGCCTAGCAGGTACTAGCCTTTTAAGCTAGGAAAGTTAACTTTATTTGATGTTGTTCAGATTTATACAATTATATATTTATATAGTTATCTAAAAATATTACATTACACTTTGAATTATTATGGGTTTTGAAATGTCTTTCACTGTTATGTCTAATGACAAAGTAGCCTTTTTCAAAGGTAATGTTTCAGCAGATAGTACTCTCTGCTTTTTAAGGCAATATGTAATGTAGGAATAGTGCTATTCAGCTATGATACCTGCAGTTTGTTAGAGATACAACATTGTCACTTTATTTTACTTATTTTTTTAAAAGCTTAATCCTGACTAAGCCTGGGTAAATTTAAACTGTATAAGAACCGTGTTAAAGGAGCATGGTGTATGCCTTATTTTGAGGCCTCTACTTTAATCTGATGGGCTTGGCAGTAACAGCTCAATATTAAGACCATATGCAGCTTCAGTTGGTCCTTGGTAACTGAGAACACATGCATACGTAAAGAGACCAGCACAACAATGCCAGAAAGACACAATAAACCACCCATCACGTGAACAAAAAGACAGTTATTGCTGGAGTTTAAATATTTCCGTGTCTTGTCTTGGGACACAGACGTTTTCAGCAGTCTTGGTTTTGATGAAGAAAAATTGGTGCAATGAAGCAAATAATTTAATCTGTTTTCCTTTTTCTTAGTAGCTCTGGCAAAAATGAATAATATGCATAGACAGTATCCATGTTGTCTTGCGTTGAACTGACAGGGAATGTTGAATACACCACAAACTCCTGGATCAATAAATCCATACTTTTCTTTTCACTCTATTACAGTCACAGCTATGAAATGAGCTGGCCACTGCAGCAGTTCTATAGGAGCTTGAGAGGTTCACGGATGATGTTTTGACCTAAAATGTCAGTAATGCTACTCAGCTGGAAAGAATGATTTCCCTGAAACTATTCCAAGTGAAGCATCAGGGATGTTTTAAGGTTATTGTGGGCCTATCCTGCCATACCTATTGATTTGGGACCCTCTCTGGGTTTCCCAGTCAGTAATTTCTCAAGTCGAAGATGTTATAGAAACTTTGCAAATAATTCATGTTGACTGACTGATGGCCAGTGAGCAATCCTGTGTCATTAAATCCAGCAGTCATTAAAATCCATCCTCCAGAGATGCTTTGGCTTCCCATATCTTCACAGTTCGGTCACTGTCGAAAACACAAAGGTAAAGTTTATGATAATAATCAAAATTTGTAATTTTAACATGGCAGGATCATAGTTCAACACTACTGACTAGTGTTCAACTATGTTAGGAGACTTACTCAGAGGCAGTGAACAGTTGGCTGCTGTTAGTAGCCAGGCCGTTGATCGGACTGTCGTGTCCTTGGACCTCACCGAGGGGTGCAAGCGAGTCAGTGTGCCAAAGGCGCAACAGCCCTCCTCTGCATCCACTGAGCAGAACCGGGGAGCCTGGCACCACGCCCAGAGCACTAACCCAGTCTGCCTTGGCATTGACCGACTAGTAGATGCAATAACAGCCAACAGTTAGTGTAGAGTTTATCAGATTTACAAGTTTAAGTCACTGATATAAACTTTTTAATCTTGGGAAAAATCTTTGATGCACAATACCTGTAACAGTTTCTTACTGGCCAAGTCCCACTTTTTAATATAATAGTCTCTGGAGCTGCTGTAGAAAAAGTCTCCATGCACAGTGAGAGACTCCACGCTGTCCTGATGGACGGGGTCAAACGTATGGCAGGAGGTGATGCTACCCTGAGCGCCCTCTGTCACCTCAAACATCTGAAAAACAAGCACATTTGTTCTTTATATATATGGTGGTTATCATAAAGTTTGACGACTCTGTTCATTGCTCCCTGGAAGTATAGTTAGGGCTGGATCAGGTGATCCTCAATCCTCCCTTAGTTATGCTGTTGGTTATGCAACCCTCACTACCCTGGCAAGCAAAATATTACCCCATTGAAACGGGCAATTCCGGACAGTTGGTAGTACTGCAGGAAAAAAAGTGTTAATCTAATGGATTAACACTTTTGTCCCCCCGCAGTTTTAAATCCCTGAAAGTGGGGACGTCTCTCCCAGAGCTCCAGTTCGGTGACACCATGTGCATCTTGTAGAGCAGTGGTCCCCCCCACACACAAACACATCCTCCAACCTCACACAAACTTCAATTTTTTTGTAAACATCCATCCATCCATCTTCATCCGCTTTGTCCGGGGCCGGGTCGCGGGGGCAGCAGCCTAAGCAAAGAGGCCCAGACCTCCCTCTCCCCAGCCACCTCCTCCAGCTTATCCGGGGGAACACCAAGGCGTTCCCAGGCCAGCCGAGAGATATAATCTCTCCAGCGTGTCCTGGGTCTGCCCCGGGGCCTCCTCCCGGTGGGACATACCTGGAACACCTCACCCAGGAGGCGCCCAGGGGGCATCCTTGTCAGATGCCCGAACCACCTCAGCTGGCTCCTTTCGATGTGGAGCAGCAGCTGATCTACTCTGAGCCCCTCCCGGATGGCCGAACTTCTCACCCTATCTCTAATTTGTTTAAACAATTAAACAAATTAAAATAAACTACTACCTCTTTTAAATAACAGAAAAACAAACCATCTTTATGGTGTAATTATTTTACGTTTAGGTTTTTTTTTAATTGTGTAAGAATATTCAACATTGGTATCAATACATTTAAAAAAAAAACACCTCTCTGTGCAGAATGGGTTTAAAAACATTCTGTGGCAGGATCAGCCTGATATTATTCACATTCGACTGTAACTTTACTGTTTAAAGAGCTAACATCTTCAAATTTTCAGGAGTAGTTATTCATTATAAGAAGTGCTTGTGAAATAAAAATCAAGAACGTGGGATATTGTTTGTCCGTGATTTGGACAGCCTAGCGCGACGCAGGGGGAAGCAAATTCTGGCGGGGATGCCTACCTTAGCACCACCGTTGTGCAGGTGAAGGCAAGATATCATCATAGTTTTTAGACTTTGGCTTTACTTTACAATATAAAGAGCCTTGAAGGAACTGTTGTAATTTGGTTTTATTTAAAAACAGAATATAATTCAACTGATTTGAGTTGAAAATCCTATTCAGACTATATATCTATATATATATATATAGGACGCTGCTACAACACATATATGGCTACATTTTTGTGTAGCTTCCTACTTTAATATGATGGTCTTTGGAGCCGGTGAGCACCAGGTCCTGCCCGCTGCCCAACTTTTCGACTGTCAGACACATAACAGGCCCCAGATGGCCGGTCAGCTTCCCCGTAGATGCAAATCTAAAGAAAGGAGTCAAATTAAGAAATCATTACCAAAATAAATACCTCCTATGAAACTGCTTATAGCTAAAACTCATATCGATGTTACTGTAACTCACTTGCGGAGATCCCACATGCGGACAGCATTGCCAGCAGCAGCATACAGGAAAGAGCCAGTGTGGTTGAGAGTAATCTGATTGATCTGACTCTCTCCAGGTGGGATGGATAAACTCCGAGCAGAAGAACAGGTGTCTCCTGAGCCCACCTGTCCCGATGACCTTACACGTATAATAAAAATGCAAAACAATAAGATGGTGATAAAACGTAATGACAGATGCTGGACGGAGGGGCGCGTGAACTTACGTGAGTGTGCGGATACACTTGGCAGAGTCTCGTATGTCCCAAACTTTGATGTAAGCAGTGGAAACGGTGAAGACAAGGCTGGAAGTGTACCTATAATAACAGCAACAAGTAAGTAATCTATCCAAAGGTTAAATACAAAAACCAACGTTACTAGTGATTCTAGTATTCTGGTACCTGACTGAGACGACACTGCTGGGATGATCAGCCAAAGACATGATCTCCTGACCTGTCACCAAGTTCCAGACCTTACATGTCCGGTCTAAGAAGACGCACGAGAACAGGTCAGATTAATAAACAAAAAGGAAAGAAATCATAGAAAACACTCTTCTCGTGGTGGCTGTTTGAAAGCCGGTGCAGTTTTTACCTTTAGACCCTGTAAACAGCAGGTCATCAGTGGCGTCTACACAGAGAACAGGCTTGGTGTGGCCCTCAGCTACATAAACACACTGAAGTTTGCCCCCCCGACTGTTCTTGGGGCTTGTTACAGGGTTGATGACACCCCTACAAACATGACACAACATTTTAGACTTTCACTAATCAGCTTTCTGCACCAGCAAAGCCTTGTAGTGGCATACTGTAGCTGACAGATTAAAGTGGTTAAAGCAGTGACAGAATGAAAGGGAAAGGAAGTACAGAGTTAACTATTCCCTCTGATTTTAGCTTACATTTGAAATTTAATTAAACATATTAAAGAGGCATGAATTACCTGTGGCCTTCAAACGCAGTCGAGTCCTCCAGCCTGAAACAAAATAATAATGGTTATTTAAAACTTAAATAAATAGAGTTAAACTTAAAGGGCATATTAGCATCCTAACATTTGCCTTTTGCAACAATTTGCTCAGTAAAGCAGTGAAATTCAGGCTGCTGGGTTCATGTCATTTTTGTAATCACCTAAATTAAATTATGGCTCATCAGGTGTTCATGAATGGCCCTGTTGTAATTATCCAGCTGCAGCCTGACTGACACATGGCTAAAACTACAAACAAACCTGTTCTTCTGATTAAAGGAAGTTCACACTTACAGGGATTTGTAGTCACTGGCTTTGGTTTTAGTTTCCGCTGTGCTAACTGGAGCTGCATGTACAGGTCCTGGGATCTGCGACGCCACGCCTCCTTTCTCGTGCATCTTCCTGCGGCTGAGCGGCGAGCGCTCCAGTTGTTTCCTCTCAGCTCCTGTAGGTGATCTGGATCTGGAACTACAAACGGTAAAGATTTCACAAGGAGTTTTGTTCTTCTAGAGTAATAACACGTAACATTTTAGCAGCAAGATATCACACAAACAGTCTTCAATATTTCAGAATGCTGAATGATGAGCACCGGAAATATCTGGCATTTCAGAAGAGAACTTTGATATTTTTGTGCCCTGCAGAGAAATGTTGCTTTTACCACTTACATGGCAGCTGGCCTGGCAGACAGCGCAGATGGGGAAACAGTTTGCTCACGGTCAGCGGTTTGACCAACCGCTTGACCCTGCATGTCTGCCGGTCCTTCCAGGCGCTCAGCGAGGGGCAGCAGAGGGGCTGAAAAGTCTCCAGTGGGGGATTCACAGGACAAATCTCCACTGCTGGCATAAAGCAATTCCATCTGTGTGGTGGTTCGCCTTCGAGCCTGGGGGACCAGAATATTTTGGAACACGGACTCACAACTCACTAAGCAGCTAGTAATTATCCTAAATTCAACAAAGTATTGTGGAACTTCTGCTTAACTTTGGATGAAGTAAAAAGGAGGGGAATTGGAAAAATATGGATCAAATATGATAAAGTAAATTCAGTTTTAAATTTAAACACATTTTTTAACTGTTAAACGTAAAACACATGGGCTTAAACAGTATGCGGCACATTGCCCGGCAGAGTACAGTACCTTGCTTCTTGGTCTGGATTCACCACACATCTTCATTAAATCTGATGCCAGTGTGCTGAAACACAGAATTTTCAACCAGTTATTCCCAGTACATGTTAGGCTAGCAGTACAATGTTTACCAATTTTATGATATTAGCATTTAATTTGCACCTGCACTTTCAGACTCGAGATATGCAGCATCATCCCTATGTTTTATCTGAGAACGCTCTTCTTCACCAAAGAAGTGGGGGGAAAAAAGGAAAGAGAAAACACAACTGGCGTCTGGATAGAAAGTGATCCTCTTCCTCCTCACCTCAAATTTATCTCCAGAACTGAAGCCAGGTTTATGCACACGCGTGTGCATAAACATGCTCAGCAGATTAGACATCCAGCTCACCCCTCAACATTATGAGAGCTAATTTTAGGCTTTCATATTACAGCTTATTCGCTAAGTATCTGAGTCTGATAATGTCAGAGCCACTTCAACGAAGGTTTCACAAATGCCAGCTAACAGCGGCTAACAGCAGCTAACAGAGGCTAACAGAGGCTAACGGCAGCTAACAGAGGCTAACGGCAGCTAACAGAGGCTAATGGCAGCACACAATAACATGCAGGAAAAAGTTGCCTGCTCAACTACGTGAGCTACAATGGTACAAACAAAAACAGGCCTCGTCCAGAACTAGTATTTGCTTTGTCTATATCCGGCTTCTGTACAAGCAACAAAGTAGTTAGTGACACAAAGTCGTTAGCATACAATGAACGTGCGATTTCACAGATCCAGGCATCACTCGTTTAAATCGCAACGACGGCAAGGGGCGAAAATGCTCATCAAAAGGGGACTTCTGCGATCATGATGCATGAAATCATGAATTACTTTTTTCTTCTTCTAACGCTGTGAACCTATAAAGTGCTTTTGAATTGATAACCTGTGCAGGTGTATATATTTACCTGCCCTCTGTGGCTGGACTGGGGGTGGATTCATCACTACTGCTGTCATCTCCGTTCTCTGCAATAATGACAGACACAAATAAAGACACATTTGAAAAAGGGAAAAACAAAGAAAAATGTGTCTTTGTGAGTGTGGAAAGCATGTGTGACTTCCTTGATGGCACATTTTAGATGTCGGGGGGTCGTTTAGTGTAGTTTTAGATAAAGGGTGATCTGGGAGAGAAGGAAATGGAGGAAAACGCAAGAGAAGACAAACACAGAAAGGCTGACACGCAAACTGCTGCTTCCACATAATCGCAGCTCATCCTCATGAAGTGGGACTGGCTAGCAGGTGGGGTGACACGTCATGCATATTACTGGCACAGTTACGACAGCCGGGTTAGTTTTTATCAGGACTGCGATGCACGTGATGCACACGGCAAGATTCCATCATTTTTTTTCAAATGTAGATTTTTTTCTTTCTAATTTGGAAACTAATTGCACAAAAAAAAAAAAATCAGACTGAAAACAGTTCACAGTTTGGGAGCAACATTTAATGGAAATCGTGTAGTGTGCACGTGCCTTGCTCTCTCACGCACTAACGTACTGCTGTGTATTTTTGTCACTCACCTGGAGACAGGTAACCTAACTCTGAGCTCACAGCAACACCACAGAAAGAAACAAACAGAAATCAAAAATCAAAACCCAAAGATGAGGAAAAAGGCTACTCGTTATTTTACTGGCTTCAGTGACAATTTGATGCGTCATAGTGACAAATTCTTCACATTTCTTTTGGACAAGCTGAGGAAGCCTGTAAAGTAAAAAAGTAGCCGCACACGGTTAAAAAGATGACTGAAAAAGGTGATTGCGCCCGACGGGCTCGGACCCGAGTCGATCTGTCGGCGCCCGCTACCTTGCAAAGCGCTGCCCAGCAAGGCGTCCAGCTCCGGGTTGATCTCAGCTTTCTCCTTGAGCATGTGGAAGAGCAACTGGTTCTGCGTGGCGCTGTTGATCTCCGTCTGCTTCAGCCTACCCTCCATCACCTTCAGCTGGGAGTCCTTTTGAGCCGCCTGCAGACCCTGAGTCCCGGCACAGCAGAGAGATTATCACAGAGCTCTTTTTAATTGTTTGTACTCGTATAACGGAGGTCGACCTCCGCATCTGTTCAGCGCAGGAAACAAACATAATAAAGGCTCGGCCTCTTTCAGTTTAGTGTGAAGTAGTAATTACTTGCGCTTCTTCGTTTGTGCTCTCAGTCTTCCTCCTTTTGCCGCTGAGCTGACTGCATTTCCTCACTGGACCAATTAGGTTTCGCCAAATCTAATCTTATCTAATCTAATGGAGACTTAATTCAATCATGTTGTTCCATTAAAGGTCTCATTAGATTCAATCTCATAAAGGAGCCATGGTTACGAAGAAAACGGGCTCGGGATAAACAGGCAAGCTGCAAACGAGTTACCACGACGACTGCAAATAATCGCTATGCAATTAAATTCATAAAGCACTTCTACTTAGAGAAAGGTTGGTATCATAAAAAATAAACATTGTGATATTTTGTAATATTTATTTGACATGTCTGGTGTGAGTCATCTGTTGGTACCTTATTAATGGCCATAGTCATGAAATGGTCAAGTAGGAAGCGGGACTCAGATAGGTTACAGGAACTGATGACAGCAGCAGCATCCACGGTGTCTCCTTCCTCCTGCAGCCCACAGCGATGACACATTTCATAAAACATTACTGCGAGGAACTTGACAACTTATTTCCACACAGTGTGATTTGATTTAAAATGAGGACAGCAACCTTCTTCAATAGCTAACACCAGCTATCAGCACTGCTAACACAAACAAGTTTTATAAACAGCAATTCTGTGAGAGATTTCCTGATGTGCTTGGTATCATCATCCCGTTCTATGACCCAGTTGGCCTCACTTCTGACTCTCGAGCACTTTGGTATACAGAGGAGTTCATGGTCGACTCAATGGCCACAAGGTGCCCGGGTCCATCCATCCATTCGCTTCCGCTTATCCTTTTCAGGGTCGCGGGGGGCGCTGGAGCCTATCCCAGCTGTCATAGGGCGAGAGGCAGGGTACACCCTGGACAGGTCGCCAGTCTGTCGCAGGGCCAACACACAGGGACAGACAACCATTCGCACTCACATTCACACCTAGTGACAATTTGGATTATCCAATTAACCTATCCCCACAAGCTGCATGTCTCTGGATGGTGGGAGGAAGCTGGAGTACCCGGAGGGAACCCACGCAAACACGGGGAGAACATGCAAACTCCACACAGAAAGACCCCGGCCTGATGTTGGAATTGAACTCAGGACCTTCTTGCTGTGCGGCAACAGTGCTAACCACCGTGCCACCGTGCTGCCGGTGCCCGGGTCCTGAGCTGCTAATCAAGCCCAAATCATTACCAAAAGTGCTTGGTCTGGTTTTCTCCAAATGTGAAGCTGTGCTTTACAGCGAAATATCTCCACTTTGGTCTCGTCTGCGTCTAAAGGACACTGTTCCGGAAGTCTTGCAGTTTGTTCAGATGCAAAATCTGCAGCAACTCTCTGGTGCAGGTCTTTGGTGAGGATTGCATAGTCTGAATTTGGGGATAATTTTCTGGAACGTCTACTCCTGGCAATATTGGGGGGGCACTGTGTTAAAACACAGCGGACATTCCCAGACCTCCAAATCGCCAAAACATCTGCTTTTATAGAGGTGCATTGAAGTGCATTTGATTAGAGTTGTACTTCTTTTTTAACAGGACAATTAAAACAGAAAAACATCTCAAACTGCCTGGATTATGAGAGCAAACATTGTTAGCTGCTATAAAACTTTCACCCACGGCTGGGATGCAATTTAATGAATCACTAGTCTGACACTAACCATCAGTTAGCAACCCAATCCTAAGCCTGCAGAGATTTCCAGCAACGCACATTTCAGCCAACACAGCATTACATACCACCGCTCTCAGTGCTATCTCATTAGTGACCCCAGGCTTACTATTGATAAATAATTGCACAGTTTAACCCAAGCGGCAGCAAATCAGAGGTTTTCAGGATCCGCGGCTCTCTAATTCCTAAATTGCACACTTTAAACTCAACAATTTGTGCAGCAGCTTAAAGAGCATCGTGAGTGGCTGATGGCATGAATGTGAGGTACAAAACTCAGAGTGTAAACGTTATACGTGCAAACAAAAAGTTACATGTATACACGGCTGATCAGCTGCCACCATTAGGCTGCTTTGGATGCATTAATGGGCTGTGCTGCCGGTGGGTTGTTGTTTTATTGAGTCATTGTTGTTTTGACAAATAGGCGCCTGATGCTTGTTTGTCAAAGTGGGGCCCAAAATGCTCTGGGACTGTCAGCGGTGCAGAACTGCAATTATTTCCCAAATTGATTGCCCAAGGGTGACAGCCCCATGCAAGCCCATTCTCGCTAATGAGGCAGCGATGATAGTGTTTGCATCATTATGAGCTGCGTGCGAGTGTGCAAACATCATACTGCCCTTCTTTTATGAAGCATTACAAACAGACTCGAATAAACACTGGGATCACGCGCGGCCGATTGCTGCTGTTCTCTCACCTTAGCCTCCTCCATCTGCATGATGTTGGCCTGGCAGTCGGCGATGCTGTCGTTGATGTAGTCGATGTTGGCGCTCAGGGACTCCAGCTCCTCGTTCAGAGACGCCAGGGAGCGGTCGGCGTCCGCGCCGTCTACTGCCGTTTTTTCTCTTTTCCTAGACACTCGCTCACGTCGCCTAGTCAGCTCCTCACGTTGCTGGAGAAAAGGCGAGAACAGAGGTTAGAAGGAAAGGAGGACAAAGAAGCATTTTAAAAGCATTTTAGTTGGTGCCACTACACACAAACATCTCTCTCTCTGCAGTAATTGGGCTCTAAAGTAGGAGAGTAGCAGTGAAACTCCTGTAGCATTCATCAGTGACAACAGAAACAGCATGACAGCTGGGGTGGAAGTGGGTTGCAAAGCAGCTTGCAGATGGGCAACAACTGTGTTCAGGCTAAAGCAGCTTAAGTAGTGGGGCCTATGGGAGTTCAGCAAACTGGATATTATCACAATACTTCTCAATACTTCATGTTATTGCGATTATTACCATTTTGTATTTGCTGAGCATTGAAAAAAAACTGTAATACTGTATCGACCAGCTGATGTGGGCTCACGACCACCGTTAAACATTACCTTCAGTAGTCGGTTCATATCTGTCTCCATGTTAGAGATGGTCATCCTCTGCATGATGATGTCATTGATGCGTCTCTCCAGTGACTGCCACTTGGCCCTGGCTGATCTGTTGAGGTAGATACTTCCCATCCGCACTGGGGAACTCCTAAAGAAGAAGGCATTCTTTCAGACGTCTCACTCAGCTGACATGCACACTCATGCTGTAAATGCGCTAACGCGGTTTACCTGGCTCCGTTGGAAGAGCTTGCACTAGAGGACTGCAGCCGTCCTGGGACTGCTCTATGAGAGGGTTCCTGAGGAGGTTCAGGTAGGCTCACTTTCCTGCTCACCTTTCCGGACACGGGCCTCACCTGGCGCCTAAGAGCGGTCACCTGACACAGAGAACAGGTATAACAAAGCCACATGTAACATAGTCATCATTGCCTCCCTCAACTGCGTTTTACCTCTTCATTCTTCCGACGGAGGATCAGCTCCTGCTGTCTCTTCTGGGCCTCGAGCTGCCTCACCTGGTGCTGTGAGACAAGCTTGATTTTAGTTTTGTCTTTATGATCCAAAAGCAACTTTATAAGACATGAGTGTTCCTGTGCCTCTTACCTCAGCTCTGCGCTGGTCTTTTTTCAGCGAGGCTATCTCTCTGTTCCTCCTGCACTCTGTGGCCCTGTTCCTCTCCTGCTGCTCCTTCATCTGGCGCATCAGTGCCACCTGGTGGACAAGCATAACACAGCAAGTGTAGCATCGCAGCTACAAGACAAGTGTGAAAAGTGCTGCTTATCCCAAAATGAAAAGAAGGAGCTTTACTTTGGTTTTCTTCATCTCGGTCACATCCAGCTGGAGTTTCTTGAGCTGCTTCTCGTACTGCGACTGGTTCTTCAGCAGGCGTGCGTGCTCCTTTTGGGCAGACTGGAGCTTCTGCAGCTCTTTGTTCATGGAGGTCAGCTTCCTCTCGTACTCAGCTTTGATCCGTTTGGCCTTTTCCTCCGTACCGGACTCCACTGAACCTGTGGATGGAGTAGGTTTCATTTCCTTTGCTCTTTAATCCTCTTTGAACAGGCAGATCCTAATTTCTCCATCTTACCCATGTTGTGCAGCACTTTGTCCCTCTCCAGCTGCGTGTCTCTGATCTTGTTCTGCAGCATCATCAGCTTCTGTTCATACTGCTGTTTGAGAGTGTGCAGACGCCGCTGGCTGTTCTCCAACTCATCGATCAGCTTCTGCTTGATGGCGATCTCACAGGTGATGTTGGCCAGGTCGGCCTGAACGTTTTCTGCACACCCCCAAAAAGAAACATGAAGTTCAGAGTGCGGTTTCTCTACAATCTGTGCACAGTTTTGTCTGGGGAAACAAAGATGAGCTCTTATTTTGATACTTCCTTCCATCTGGATAGCTGTACCTTTCTCATCCAGTTCTTCAGAGTCAGACTCCTCGGATGTCTCATCTCCCGCCATCTCAAAGTCCTCTTCTTCTCCATCAGCATCCTCGCCCTCTTCATGGTCGCTGCCCTCCTGGTAAAATGGTAACAAACGCTGAGTAATATGTGACATTTACATATTATATTTACAGTTTAAGTTATTTAATCCAGCAACCTACCACCTCTGCCTCCTCGTTTCCTCTTTCCTGATCGTTGTCCGGCAGCTCCTCTTTGACAACACTAAAGGAGGGAAAGAGTGTTAGCTCTCTGTCTAAGAAGGAAATGTTACAGTCCCAAGAGTCAAATTCGGACTAACAGGAAGTTAAATCACAACAAATACAGATGAATGACACATGCAAATGATTATAGGCTTGATTAATGAATGATTTCATTGTGATTTCACAAACATGGAGGACACAGTGGGAGAGACGAAGAGATTAAACGATCAGTAACTACCATCCAAATTACATTAGGAGCCGCCGCACACTGCAAAGATCTGCTGACCAAATGCCACACGCTACAGCAAAATGTGTGATATTTATCAACTCCAGCTCCGAATTTAATATGTTTTCAATGGTTTTGGTATCACAAAACGTGATCTGATCAACACCCTGCAGTGTGCAGTGAAAGGGAAAAAGAGGGCGAGGAAAGAGCTGGTTAAATTCCCTGCTCCCTTTGCAGGACTGTGAACCGCCTGTAGGTGCAGAAAAAGTTAGTCGCTTCGGGAATTTGGAAAAGGAGGAAGACTTGGGTCAACAATCAGCTAAAATCACTTCAAGGGAAGGGCACAAATTCCATTGCCAGTTTCAGATTGAGTATTTGAACCCCATTTGTTGATGGGAGGCGGCAAACCTGGCGTCCTCAAGCTCATGATGGTGATTCTCTTCGTACTGCCTCAGTCTTCGGTGAGAAGGATGGAGGTGGGGAGGGTGAGGAAGGCGGAGGTAAAGAGAGCAGACAGGCCACAGAATTTGGGGGAAAACGAAGGATGTTTATAAGAGAGAGACAGAGAGAGAGGGCGAGAGAGATCAGCAAGAGGTGAGTGACAAAAACCCCCAAAACAGCAGCTCAAATGATGGATTTTGGTTATGGAGACGTAAAGAAAGGCAGATTTCATGTGAGAAAACCTGATTTAAAGAAAAAAAACAGTTCTTTGTAACTTGCAGATCCCAAGCATGTATAGAAATAAAAATATACAAGACACATGCAGCAAAAGGATAAGCGATCAATGGCCTCCAGCGTGTTGGAGAAGTGGCGACTGAATGCAGCACACATTCCATTAAAGAAACAACAGGGTGTAAACTGCTAATGCAGGGAATCAGCAGATAATTACAACACGCCAAGAGGCGACACTCTGGCTGCACATTAACAGCTCTACAATTTCTACTTCCTGGCAAAGCGGCTGTTATTCTTACGCACTTCCAGGAACGGACTAGAGCTTCACAACTGTGTGCCAACTTGAACACGTACCTCTTTTTCTTCTTTTTCTCCTTCTTCTTGAGTTTCTCCAGGTCTTTCTTGGCCATCTCGATGACGTCCCTGGCCTCCTTCCCTGGAGCGAGGAGGGCGGGGCCGCCGTACAGCGAGGAACGAGTGGAGGCCCGGGACAGGTTCTTCCTGAGGTTCTCGCTCACGGCCTCACTCTCCAGAAGTTTGGCTCTGAGGAACGAGTTACATTACACAAACGTTACTGTTGCTAAACACTTGCAGCACATTTTAATGTGAAGTTATACTGTTGTTGCAGACACGTTCCTGTGATCTGGCTAAGGCTAAAATCTGGTCTCCTTTCGTACCTGAGCTCCTCGATTTCTTTGATGTAGTTCTGAATCATGTTGCCGATTTCTTCGTTACCTTCACCTACAATTAAAGGAAGTTAGGACTTTAAATGATATAAAACTATGTTAATTATAAAACTAATAGCTTAAAATCATTTCAGAAACATGCTTTAGTGGTTATTTTATCTGACATACTGGTTTAAAACATAAACTGTATATAAAAGACCGACATATCAGTAAGGGGATAGTGATTTGGGTTCCAAAAAAGAAGTCTATAAGCCTAATTATCCATACTAAGCATCATCGTCTGGGTCCGATTAAGCAGAGACACCCTCCCTCACTCCGCCCCCTCCTCAAGCTCTTCCTGGTTGTCACTGAGATTCTTCCAATCCTTCTGGGTCTCTTCTCTGTGGGATATGGCCAAAACACCTCACCTAGCAAGCGCTCAGGAGACGTCCTAATCAGATGCCTGAACCACCTCAACTGGTAGCAGCTCTACTCTGGCTACTGGTTACTTTGAAACTCACATATTACAACTGTACGTCCTGGGTTTGTCAATCAGATCATCCAGTTAGGCTAGGACAGGGTTAGGATGGAAAACCAACATGCCAGTAGGCACGATGCTCAGCTCAGAATAGACAGTGAGTGATTTATGAAGAAACACTTCAGAACTGATGACATCTTATCTTAGCACGTGTTAGCTTGCTCACGTAAAACTGCAAGGGTGGACAAAAACCTGCCAACATGCTAGCGTTATAGCGTGCTAACATTAGCATTTAGCCCAAGGCCCTGCTGTGTATATGGCCATACATAGTAAACGGACTGGTTCTTATGATGACGTCTCACTGTAAACCAACCAACCACTTTTTAATACTAAAATCCCAGTTCTACAAAGATTAGAACTATATAAAAAATATGATACAGCATATACAGTATCAGCAAAACCAGCTGTGTCATGAGGCTGTGTAAAACATATGTTGTATGAGCTTTTTTGAAAATGTCCTACCTGCTTTGGCGAGAGCCTGGTTTGCCTGGTCACTGAGGATCTGAGTGAGTCGAGCTCTCTGGGCATCAATGGTCTCCTGCATGGCCTTCACTCTCACTCTCAGGTTGTTATTCTCCGTCTGCAACATGGAGTTTTCATGGACCAGGTCGTTCATGCCCTCCATGCCGTCCTCACCCACCATGCGCTTTCCCTAAACAATCGACAAAAGGGCCAAATATTGCTCTGCTCATGTCCTCTACATGGACTGTATTTGTGAATGCATTCCTGCCTGTGCCACGCTCTTACAGTCTTGTACTCCATCAGCTCCATCTGCAGTCGTGCTATCTCTGTCCTCAGGGCGCTGATCTGCTGGCTGGCCCTATCCTGGTTCACCATCACCTTGTTCTTGATGTTCCGGGCCCGGTTGGCGTATTTTAGCGTGTTCAAGGTTTCCATGAAGTCCCTGTCTGACGGGCTGATGCAGGCGATCATCACAGTTTGACTGGAGGATGCAAGAATAACGATCAAGCCCGTTGATTTCTTAAGGCTAGTATGGATATTTAAATGCATATCTAATATTTATTTGAAGAGACATCACAGCAGATTCTTCCCCACAAACCTGTTGCCACCTAGTGAGTCCTGTAACAGCCGGGTCAGTTTGGAGTCTCTGTAAGGCACGTGAGTGGAGCGCTTACTCCTGTCTCCAAGAGCACTGATGACATTTCCCAGGGCGAGCTAAGGAAGGACACAGAAGAGGAGAACAAGCATTCAGCCTTAGTTAACTTGTCATCAGTATTCACTATAAATAAGGTTATGGTGGAAGAAATCAACAGTGTAATGCCTATTCTGTCCATCAGGGGTCTCTCCTGCACCACACACTGGTAAATGCTGGTCTCTTACTTGCTTTTCATCACTGTCCTATTAAATGCAGCTCAAACTAAATTAAGTGGCCAATGACAGCAGCGCAGTGTTTACTGTTTAAAGTTCTCTGTAGAGCTTCCTCACCAGCCCACAGTTGATGGAGATGCCCTCTTTCGCTCTGTCTCCTGTAGCTCCAGTTCTCTTTAATCTCTCAGAACCCGCCAGGTCCACAAAGTGGAACTTGGCCGTCAGAGTCTCAAACTCATCGATCTCCGAGTCGTCAGCCAGACGGTTATCCGTCGCGTTATCCTGGACGAAAAGGGCAAGGAAAGTAAATAAACAGAACTGCGAGTGATGCAAACACACCAGTCCTCTGTTGCCTTTCATAACAATACTTACATTGTTGTCAGGGGAGCAGACTCGCACTTGGCACAAGTGGATGGTGAAGATGGCATGGGAGCGTGAACTCTGGACGTTCATCTGGGTGCTGGCGGTGGTGCGAGACAGAGCGCCCAGCTTCAGACACTGAATCATCTGTTAGAGGAGAGGTGGAAGAAACAGATGACAAAAAAATTGTGTGCTTTCTCATATCATTTCTGAGCTGCACAGAAATCTAAACATAGAGACTGTTCCTAACCACTGTGATCGTTGAAGAGTTCAGTTAAGAGACTTTAGCAGCTGAAAGGTAAAAAGACTACAAGAACTTAATGATGACTTCCTCACTGGGAGATGTGAGTCTCTGCTGGAGAGAAATCCTACTCACTGAATGGAAACACTACTGTGCAAAACTCTTGAGCAGCACTCATCTTTTTCTATTTAGTGAGGGAAAAAATTCTAGTTCTTTGGATGTTTCTGCCTTTTGTTCAGTTCTTTGTCAGCATGACACGCTGCTTCAATAATGTTGAGGCCCAGGCTCTGGAGATGACTGGTAGTGTTTCACTGTTACTGCATTGGCAGTGTTTGGGATCAGACTCAGGCCAGATGCAACTTCAGGTCCTGTGTCAGGTCTTTATTGGCTTTTTTTCTATTTCTTAACAGGATGACAGCATTCAGATAATGTTCATGTTTTATCCTCCACTTGTCCAGGTTCCTCAAATTTTTTAAAGGACATGCTGCACGTGTTTTTGGCTAATAGCTCTTTAGGAATCACCTTGTTGCTGTAAAAATTCTACTTTATGCCTGTTAGACTGTTATCTCTGCGTTTGCCATGTGAGAACTAAATAATCTGCTAGTAACTAAGCACTGTATGATACAATATGAAAAAATTGCCAGACGATTCTAGAGTTTATTGAGCCATCTGACAGATACATCCATCCATTTGTTTCTGCTCATCCTTTTTCAGGGTCACTCGAGCCTATCCGAGCTGGCTTAGGGCGAAGGCGGGGTACACCCTGGACAGGTCTGTCGCAGGGCTAACACACAGAGACAGACAACCGTTTGCACTCACATGCGCTCCCGCATTCACACCTATGGGCAGTTTTGTGTTTCCAATTAACCTATGCCCCCATAACTGCATGTCTCTGGACTGTTGGAGGAACATGTTTGCACCCATGCAAACACAGGGAGAACATGAAAACTCCACACAGAAAGACCCCAGCCTGATGGTGGAATTGAACTCAGGACCTTCATGCTGTGATTCATGTTTAAAGTCTTAGTAGATTGGTGTTAAATGGCTTGACAAAAACCCCCAAAATATTCTTCTAAAAGTGGTCAGCTCAAGGACTGAACTGAAAAGGGGGAAAAATACACATATAGAAGGCCTGAAGAGCTGTTCCTAAAGATCCCATTAAAAAAAACTACTAAATGTAGGTGAAATATCAAGTAATGAAGGGTGGCTAGAAACTTTTGCACAGTGTAACAAGTGTATTTTTACAGCGTTATGAACGAAATGAGTTGAATCAGCAGTCCCCAACCCCCAGGGTTTTTATCATTAACTCACTTTCCCTGGGTCTTTTCCCGTGCGTTATGAATAAATCTTTTTTTTTGTACCTGTACTGGTTTTATTTTGTTGTATTTATCCGCGACAACTTAAAGGCCGGTCTGTGAAAATATTGTTGGACATAAACTGGTTGGGGACCGCTGAATTAAATTAAGATTACCACCATTGTAACAGGATTTGTGCTGCCGCCATCCGAGTTATTTTGAAAGCTTTGGGCCTGTCGTTTAGCCTAAATCTTCAGAACATGAGTCACTTTCTGAGTGGGTTTTTATCACAATTTAAGACATCACCCTCAAAATGTAAAACTATATTCTACAAAAAAGATCATTAACTTCCAGTTTGCGTAGGCTCATTTAAAACCCATTATCTTGGTCCATTAAAGCTACTTATTGTGACCCCCCTCGCAAAATCCCCCCCAAAAAGCAGTAGTATATTTGAGCCGCTTTTAGCGTTTTTCCAGGTTTTCGAAACTGACCTCGGCTGCAGAGGTGACGGTGCGGGTGGTGACCCCCACCGTGTAGATGCCTCCGTTGGCGTCCTCGTGGATTTTGATGTTGGATTTCTGCTTCCTGGCCTCGAGGTCTCGAGTCGTGTCGAACAAATCGAGCACCTCCTCGTTGTAAAGCTAAAAAACAAGAAAGTCATAAATAATTAACAAACAGCCGACAGATTAGACGACGTCGTGCAGAGCGTAAATTATTATGTCACCGTCGGAAGCGCCATTTTTTCTCTTCAGCTGCTCCCTCACCAGCTGTTAGCAGCCACTTGCTGGCAGTTAAAAATAAAGCCGGGCGCGACCTCGGAGACAGGCTAATGACAGTTTAATGGCAGTCGGGTTATCTGCGCACTTTAACAACCTGAACTGATACACCCTATGCCGACCTTTGACCTCTTGCTGTCTGCATGCTCTCGCTATGTCTAACAAACTGACTTTAAGTTATTTCAGTGTTATTTATCAGCTTGCTGATGATGTTCGATGTTACCAACTGAGTTGCTCTGCATTGTTTGTGGATGTGAGTGTGTGTGTTTCTGCACCTCCAGGAACTGTGCATTGATCTTGAATTCAGGAACAGGCCTGCCCTGCTCAGTGGCGGCCTGTCTGCGCTCCTCGATTCCTCTGAACAGGTGGTTCACGGCCCGGGGAATGATGCCCAGCTCGTCCTCTCCAATGTTGACATCGAAGCCAGTTCCCATGGTGTACGTCTTCCCCGAACCCGTCTGGACAGGGAGGAAAAGACAGGGGGATGGGCCGGAGTCACGGTGACACAAAGAGGAATGAGACATTGGGGTTCAAATTCACACGTCACCCCTCTCCTCCCCACCGAAACGCCAGAGAGGCCCCGACGGGAGCGCGTGCGTGTTTGTGCCGACAGATGATCGAGAAAGTTTTATTCTGCACGGCCGCACCTGTGTGATTACCGTGTTTGTGTGCATGCGTGTGAATGAGTGTGTTGGGCCGCTGCCGTGCCCCGTGAAAGGCGCTTTGTCAGAAAAATAACGGGCGAGGGAACAATGTGAGGACAGAATAATGAACACAAAGAGGAGCTCAGAGGAAGGGTAAGAAGAGGGAAGTTTAAAAAGCAGTTGTTCAATGACAGAGTGTCTCTTTGTACATTGAATTTCAATACAAAAACCCTTTAAATCACACTGAATAAAACTAAGCTGTTATTTTTTGCCTCTATAGTCCTCAGTGTGGCTGCACCTCCCTTTCCTCCGTTGCCTGTGAGTAAAGCATTGGTGTCATGCTGAGGCTGTTCCAGGCCTTCACTCATATTCACAAAGGCCAAAACACGGTGTCGTGTCGATAGCAAGGATTAACAATGATCAGAGTGACCGGTTCACCACTGAAGGTGATTTTTACTTTGTTTCCACACTGATGCATTAAATTAATGTTGTTCTTTTTTTGACATTAAATCAGCAAAGCCACAATTTATATCACACTATGACAGATAAATGACATTGAGGCTAATTATCTGAACGCACTTTAATGAACACTAAATCACTGTGCAATTAATTCTGTTGGTATCGGAAGTTATCGATATTTGGATCATCACCGCCACTGGTCAGAACAGGCTAAGAAAAAATTGAGCCTAACACTTCAGACAGTTGAGCTGTTTTGCATTGCACAGGCCTTAATGTTACCGTACAATACATACATCATCCACTTTTTTCACAATTATACACTTGCAGAACTATAACCTCCACATAAAACAAAAGGATTTTGCATATCTGTCCATTTCAAAACCAAGGTGGACAAATGACCTTGCTGCTTTCCTCTGTTTCCAGTCTTTTTGCAAAGCAACCGTGGAACTGGCTGCCATAGCTTCAGAGATGAGAGTGGCACCAATCAACTGCTTTCAGGATGCATGTTAGTCTATAATGTTTAAAGCGATAAAATATGTTTTGACTTCTTGGTTTACTTTCCTGCTCTGGCATAATGTGAAGCAGACACTTTCTACTTTGTTTTGATTGGATAACAAACTTCCATATCTATCATTCCCTCTTATTCTAATTTATTAGAGGCAATACAAAGCTGTGGTGATGAGGACATGTTGGAACATATTGGCAGCACAGAGCTGCTGAGGCTCCTTTATTGCCTGCCTACCGATGTGAAAATGAAATCAGCTTCATATCACATGATGCCATAAATCTTTTGTTTCTGGAAGGAGTGCCGCTCCCTTGAGCAAAACTTTGACTGAATGTGAATATGTGACTGAGCTTGTGCATATTCATGCCATACCGGTGTGCTGTTAACATGAGTAAAAAAAGACAATGCTCCATGCCCTTCTACCAATACGTGTGCAGCAAAAGCCTGCTGACTAACCTGTCCATATGCAAAGATTGTGGCGTTGTAGCCCTCAAGGCAACCCTCGATGAGCCTCTCGGTGCAGTGGGTGTAGATCGTCTCCTGCTGGGTGTCCATATCGAAGACATAATCATAGGTGAAGGCCTTGTCCTTGCCCAGGACCACTTGGGGTTCTCCTGGCATCACATACGTACAGATGTGACAGCCCTCAATCTTCTCTTTGGGCAGCTGAGGACGAATCCTGGCAGACAGAGAGGGAGAAAGAGACCACACTAGAGGTGAGACGTGGCTCAAGACTTGGGATAGGTTGTGGAGGTCGCGTATGGGCAAGTTACCTTTCAGAGCTGGGAGAAGGGCTTTAACTGTTGTTAATGTGACAGTGTTACCCAACCAATGATCATCTCCTATGTCTAACCAAGTGGATTTATTGCTTATAAATAACATTGACTTTATTGGCTTAATGGTGAAAGTGCAGCTAAGCTGAAGACAGAAACAGTTTTCACTGAGCATGTCTTTTTATGCATGTGGAAACCAGTGTCAGCATGCTGCCCGTGCACCGTACAGTGCCCGCACTGTTCAGGAGTGAGGGAGAGCGAGCGAGCTCTGGGTAAACAGTCCCACCCATAGATTTCATTAAGGAATTGCTCTGTTTGCCTTCCTTCAAATAAAAACACTTCCCTGTTACATCATTTCCTCCTCTGCTTTTTATCGCTGCACTAACAGTCGACCTGAAGAGGAAGTGGAAATGCTGAAGGGAAATATTTGGACAGGGAATTAAAACGGTGAAAACTGTTTATAGCAAACCCTGGATGAAAATAGGAATAGAAAACAGTTCTATTAGTATCAATACTGCAATACTCGTGGAAATAAATGGTAAATTATAATGATGGGCATGTGAAGGAAAACCTCACAGTTAGCAGGAAGTAAATGGATTCCTTCAAAGGCCACAGTCAAACCCCAGAAAGGTTAGAATAACAATGAAAAAACAGACTCTCAGAATAGAAAAGTGTCAGTACTGTTGGTGTCCTCTGGTGCTCATTAACTCTCAGTGTATGTGTGAGGATGTGGCACTTTGCATGAAGTCTGCACTATATCACATTAGTCACAGCAAGAGTCTACAGAAAAAAAGCAAAAGGCTTAGAAGGAAAGGAAAAGAAGGATGTCGGTGAAGCTACAGTAGCAAAGGTCCACAGAGGTGTCATTGTGCGTGACATCAGATCCCAGCTATTTAGCAGGCTCCCTCTCTGGGATTACAGCACTGATGAAAGCAGGACAGAGGCAGACAGTCCTACCTGCAGTAACTGTATTCCTGTAAGAGTATTATAACTGTCAGCTCTGTGTTGTGAAGAGAAGTCCCAAAAAGTTCAGCTTTCCTGACATTCACTCAATTGCATGCTACAGCAAAAGGCACAGAGAACTTACAAAGCATCAGATCTCATCATTGAAAGGTGAAGTGAGAGTACAAAAACAATTTCCACAGCATTAGATGGAACACAGTGAAGACAGTCATCAAAAATCAGAGACATGTCCAGTTGTACACTGGTCCCTCGCTTTAACGTGGCCTTGCTGTTTCACTGATTTTTTTGTGCAATTTTGCATGCTTTTTTTGTGTTCTGCGTCCTGATTGGCTGTAGACCATCGTCAATCAATCTCCTCTGTGCCGTGTCTCCTGTCCAGTACAGAATGCGTTCAGCTTGTTATATTTACATAAATCTTTGATCGCTAGCAGTGTGACTCTGAAGTGTATGAACTGTATGTTTCTAAGTTTTCTCCCCAACAAACACAACAATGTTGACGAAACATAGGCAGCTGCGGTAGCACCCAAAAGGCAGAGGAAGATGCTAACCATCGCACAAAACTTTGAACTTCTGGACATGCTAAAGGAAGGTAGAAGTTACTGTATTTTTTGGACCAAGTGTTTAAACAAGAAAGAAAAGTGTGAAAATGTTCATGCCTGTCTGAGAAAAGTGTATAAAGTGTGTAGTGACAGCTTTTAAAGCCGTAAAACATCTATAATAATTGTAAAAAATAACGGATTTCACCTATTGCAGGTTATTTTTAGAACGTAACTCCCGCGATAAACGAGGGACCACTGTAGTTAATGAAAAGACAAGACGAAAACTGGTCAGGGAGGCTGCCAACAGACCTGTAGCACCACTGAAAGAGTACCAGAACCAGTACCAACCAGTACTTTCAGGTAGAGCAGGGCAATATGACCAAAAATATTTATCATGATATACATTTGAAAATTTGCAATAACGATATAACTGACGATATAATTGACACTAGACAAAATACTTTACAACTCCACAACTTTATTAGTGCAAAAAAAAAAAAAATCAATGTATTTTCACTTAAACAAGCAGCTTTTTTAAGTGCATTAAAGTTATATAAAAAAAATTAACAGTGCAAATGCAAATTCCTTGCTGACAGTTTAACTAAAAGGCATTTCCAGTGGAAATTGGCCGACATATCCTCAGCATAACCATGTATAATATCCACAAAAGAGGTTATACACACACAATACAGTAATATTATGTTGAAGCGCAGGACGTATCACTCCGCGAGGCTCCTGCCTACGATAGCCTTAATGCTCCAACAATCCTACAAGCAGTGCGGGTTCGTAGCTTAGCAAAGTCGTACCGAAACATTTGACAGATTCTCGAGCGCCGTGTACATAAAATCGTTTCGAGGTCAGTAAACACAACCAGAATTCAACATAAGGCACACAGGATTATAAGGGCCCTGTCGATTTTCAGAAAAAGCAAAGGATTGATTTTAAGTGTGCCGTATTTTCCAAAAAACACGGTAATAACGACGGCCCGCTAGCATGCTCTACCAAAAATAGTGCTTTGTTGTGTATCTGACGGATGAAAGCTAAACCAGTGCCACACCACTGAAGTTGCAGCATTTTTACAAACCAGTTCTGGTTCATCCGTTTCATTCAACGATCCACTTTTGCCCTTCTCATTCTGTGTTGCCACTATGTGCGTATGAAAACAAAGGCACTGCGCATGCGCGTTTTACCCATATTCTATCGCAATATTTCATTTTCTTATCGTTGCCCAACATTACACTGGTATTACCGTGAACGGTATGATATAGCCCAGCCCTACTTTCAGACAAGAACTGGTTGTGTACTACACACTAAAAAACTAACAGTCTCCACATGTCTGGTCTGTGGGGTAGGGATGCAGGGTTGGTGAAGCATGGTGGTGGCAACATCATGCTTTGGGGCTGCTTTTCTTTTGCTGGAACTGTGGTTTTAGTCAAATACTAAAGTTTTGATCTGAAATCCCAAGCATACATCCAAATCAACAAATAAATGGCTTCACCGGAAAAAAAGAAAATTAAAGTTTTGGAATGACCCAGCAGGGCCCAGACCTAAATCCAGTACAAAATCTGTGAGCTAAAGAGGGCTGTGTGCAAGACATGCGCTCCTACCCAACAAGACTGAATGCTGCAATTAAATCAAAATGTGCTTCAACACAGTTTTAGCATAAGGGTGCGCACACGTACAACTAGCTTATTCTTGTCTTATAGTGTCACATTAAAGGCAAGAAAATTTTTGAAATGATTTATTGTGATCTAATTTTTTTAACATCAGAAAAACCTGGCAGTTTAACAAGTGTGTGTACAACTACACTACAAGGCTTGTTGATACAAAGCTGATAAGAAAATGTCAAGTTAATGCATATTTTTAAAAACTACATACATCAGAGGTGGCTCCAGGTGAAGATGACGTAACTATCAGGTCATCTGAGAAGACTGACTTAATGGCACGACGGCTGAGAGCATTACAGGAGTGAATCTGCATTAATCCCCTTTGGCTAGCTTCCCAAAACTTGTCAGAGAGCTGTAATCCAGGTAACAATAGAGGCACTCATTGCAGCTTACAGTGAGGGCATTAAGTCACTCAGTTATTGTTCATTTTGAGTGTTTGGGAAGAAAAATGTAACAAAGTATGAACTACAGCAAACACATTTAGAAAAAAAAAGGATTTTTTCTAATATAGTTAAGTATAATTAAATCAGGGTTTTCTCCAAGAGGGACAAAAAGGCCTCTACAAATGTAGTCTCCATTTAGAATAAATGCCCAGTCTATCTGATTACGTTCGCCTTAACAAAGCAGTGATGCACTGTTTGTTTTGTTGCTTGTTACGACATCTCCGGGCTCCTCCATTTAGAAATGGACCAGAGAGAGGAAAATAAATGTCTGAGGAAAAGATGAAGAAAAACAAAGGGCCAGGAAAGACTGGACATGATGGCTACAGATGGAAATTTCACCCACAGTGCATCTCGTCTCAAACTCATTATCTATCTTTGCATAACAAGACCTTTATACTGATCTCATTCAGCCTGTCATTTTTTCTTTCTTGTCACAGTAAGATGCACCACTGCAAATGAATAACGACACACTGAATGCACTGCCCTCGCTGTTCAGGAGGGCGAGCGTGTCATTTTATGTGCCTAGGATTTTTAAGCTCGGTTCTGTTTGGATCCAAAAGCACAGACTGCAGTCTCAGCTTATATTTAAATAGTAAAAGTGTCATACTTTATTTTGGGAGCAGCTGGTGAGCTGCATGATAGCTAGACAAAACAGTAATAGTTAATAGAATAAATTCATGTTTTCTGGGTCATGTTGGTCTATGAAGCCATGCTTGGATGCCTCTGAATGCTCAGTGGGACAAGAAAAATGCTCTATAATGCCAGTCTATCTCCATTTTACAGTATGCTAACTATCCAAAAACAGCAAGACACAGATATTTGAAAATAGGCTCAAGTCATCACTCTAGGCAATGCAGGAAATAACACTAATGTGAGCCGGTAAGCGCTGTTACCAGCTCAGCCCTCTACCTGGCACACCCTCGGGCCACAGTCTTTTGGCCTGTAACTTCAACAACAGTGAAACAAGCTCTGTAAAGAAGAGCTCCTGCCTGTGTCTAAACCAACTTATGTATTCAGAGGGTGTGGCATGTTTTTTTGTAGCTCACAGAATACAGCTAGAATATTCCAGTAAAAACTGTGCCATATTTTGCTATGCTTAAAAAATTCTGGATTAAATGGCAATGAAGCACTGCTTTTCATTGCCAGAAGTCTGTTAAATCCTGTCAGTGAAACCAATGATACTACAGTATTACCAACACCCACGTTTGTTAAGTACACTTGTACACTTTCTCACCTTCTAAGACTTAAATGCAAAGAGTAACACCACTACTACATCTGTGATCTAAATACACAA